AAAAAAAAAAAAAAAATTGGCAAACTGATTCTAAAATTCCTATGGAAATGCAAGAGAACTAGAGTAGCCAAAATAACTGAAAAAAGAACAGAATTGGAAGATTGATATTATCCAGTGTCAGGACTTAGAGATTTCAATGGGTTAACTGAATTCATTAAATCAATAAAATTCAGTTATATTTCAGCATATATAGATGAGGATATTTATGAAGTGTGGATTCTAAAGTATAATATTTGAATGGTATACGCTTTAATTTGAAAATATTTGGTGTCATCTTTCTGAAATTCCCAGAAACAATGATGTTAAAGCAAAAAAAAAAAAAAAAAAGTTCTAAGCTGCAGGAAAAATAAGTGTCCACAAGTTGGTAGCTAGACTGACATAAGTTACAGCTAAAAATCAAGCTCTTAGATTTTTATATTTAGCAGTTTGAATATTTTCAACTTTATTTGCAGCTAACTTGATTCTAAAACAATTGCACATTCCTTTAAACTGGCTTGAATGTGCGGTGCAGAGAGGGTGAGAGGTGAGTGATGGAGCCACAAGAGAGGGGCACAGGGACCTCATGCCAGGGGAGGTACTTGGTCCAGTTTTCCTGAAGAAATTCAGGTTTACCTGTCAGAAGCACTGCTTGGATTTCCTGAGAAACGTGTGTAACTTTATACAGAACATCCAAAGAAAATGAGTAAGTTTGATGTGAATGACACTGACATCGGAGACATTTAAAATGGTTCCAATTCTCATTTTTAACAGTTGGTCGGGAGAAAAGCAATGTCCACTATGCAAGTAAGGAAGGTGTAGAGAGGCGGAAGGTGGGCAGTGCCGGTACTCGTCCCTACAGGCATAGAGGTGTTTAAGGCTGTATCGGCGCAAGGAACTGACGGCTCACTTTGTGTACATGAAGTATTTTCCCTTTTCTCCCTGTCATTCCAGCTTGTGGTGGGCGGGACAGAGCGAAAGAAACGTGGCCCCTCAACAAATTTTGATTAGTGCTGGCCCAAATTAAGGAGTTAAGTTTGAATTATGAGAGGAAACAACCCTCACAGGTCACTCCTGCGCAGCGCCTTGGGTCCTGCCATTGCCCCAGCAGCGGGCCTCACGCGCACCTGTCCGTCCGCGCAGAGGCGGCTCAAGCCGCACCATCCTGCTCCCGCCACGACGCAGGCCTGTCAGCCCCGCTGTCCACGCCCTGCCCGCTTGTAGGCCGACCGTCTGCATGATGCCTCCCCCCACCTCCTGTTTCTCTCATTTGTCCTCTCGTAGTCTGTAAAGTCACCCTCTCCACATACCAATTTGAAATGTCTAGCTGTGTCCCTCGGCTTCCTGCCCTTCCACCAGCTCTGGGTCAAGTTGGTTTTCTCAGCTGTCTTCGTTGGGTCCAGTTCCAGGGCTCGCTTGCTGCCTTTCTCTATGAGAATGTTTGTTCTCTTTGGAGTGCCTGTTTCAGTGGTATATTTCGTGTATATAAAAATCCTGGTTTTGCTCTGCTTTGTTTTGTCTAGCAGAGCAGCGTACAATGGGAGTGAAATTCAGGGTGGGATTTCACCTGAGTTTCTGATGGGTTGAAGGCCACCCTGCTGTACCAGCTAAGTGCTCTCAGGAGCACAGCGGCTGGCCATGGACAGTCCTCGGGGCTGTGGCCCTGCACCATCTCCCGAAGTGGCTTCCAGGGGAAGAGACCAAGGCCCTGCCTTTACATGGCGAGTAGTGGTGTTGAAACCCATTCCTGGAAATGATCCTTGAATGTTACCATCACACAGGGTTCTTTTTAAACCTTGATGTTTTTGCTGTTTCCATAGATAACTGTGCAAAGAAACCTGCTTTTTTAAAAAAAAAAAAAAAAACAGCTCTGCAAAAAGTGGGCTTTTCATTTATGACTTATGAGGTCCTGAAATCTTTCATTAAAGCAAAGAAAAGCACGTTTTACACACCATGCCCAAATCAGAGATCTGGAATCTCTGAGAAGTTGCTATGTTGAGTTTTTTTGTTGTCAGATGATTCACTTCAAACAAGTTTTCTCTAATAGATATATCACAAAATAATCTATTTTCTTTAGGGTTTGTTGGTTGGTTGGGGTTTTTTTCTTGTTGTTGTTTTAAGACAAGGTCTTGGACCGTGGATTTAGCTCAGTGGTTTCCCTGCCTGCTGTGCAAGTGCAAGGACCACAGTTCGATCCCCGGTACCAAAAAAAGACAAGGTCTTCCAGCACTCAGGAGGCTGAGGCAGGAGGATTGCCACAAGTTTAAGCCCAGCCTGGGATACGTAGTGAGTACACAGTGAGACCCTGTCTCAAAAAAAAAACAAAAACAAAGTCTTGCTGTTTAGTCCAGGATGGTCTTGAACTCACTGTGTAGCCCAGGCTGGCCTCGTACTTGTGGCAATCCCCCTACCTCAGCCTCCCAAGTGCTGCAATTACAGGTGTGTGCCACCACACCTGATTTTATTTTCTTTAATACTATCTTCATTTTGATGGAGACCCTGAACACAAAGGAAAGAACTTGGAATCAAAAAGATTGCTAAATAATTGGCCATCATCTCCTGGCACGTACATTCTGCCTGGATGATTTGGATGGTTTCTTGTTTTAAAATAGTGGTGTTAATGCAGTGGCTCCCTTTCAAATGGAATCTCCTGTTTAACAATTCCTCATGAAAATGAATGCTCAGGCACCTCTTTCATTGCAGATCCAGTTATCTAAATCGTCTGACACAACGTGAGATTCACTTAGTTAACATAATTAAACCAAAATTTCCTAAACTTCAGAAAAAGAGCTGGGGATTCAGTTCAGTGGTTCCGCCACCTGCCTCGAAAGCGCAAGGACCCGAGTTCAATCCCTGGTACCAAAAACAAAAAAACAAAAAAAAAACACTAAACTTCAGAAAGAGAATAGAATGGAAAAGGGAGTCTTTTATTTCTTCCCTTAATATTTGAAATTTTTATGTAAATAATCAAATGCAGTTTTTCTAACTGCTGGAAGGTTTTCTCCCCTGACTTGACCCATTCAATGCATCTTATCTTAAGTAATCTTTTTAAAAGTTTCGATAGAGGTTTTAGATATCTTACTGGCTTAAGTATATTGAGATCTGATGTGAATATATTTTTCATTGTTTTTATTTCCCTCCAAAGGAAACTTCTCCTTTCTGAAATGCTTCTGTAATGGTCACAGTGGTAAAATGGCTTTGATACCATTGTAGGAAGCAGGAGGGTTTTGTTTTTTTGGTACCGGGGAATGAACTCAGGACCTTGTGCTTGTGAAGCAGGGGGCAGAACCACTGAGCTACATCCCAGCCCAGCAGGAGGGTATGTAGGGGATTTACTGAACCTGGTGAAATCTGCAAACGCTACCTGCCCACTGCAGACCAGGTGCCAGTGCCGCACTCGGGCCCCTCCACTAGCCGTGAATGTGTTTTAGTGGACAGGGTGTTTCTGATGGAAAACCATGATGAGACGCTCACCCCTGGCTGTGGCCACGGAGCCTTAGCAGGTAGGGCCCATCTGCTTGGTAACCCTCCCCTGGCTTCTGAGTCAGCAGCGAGCTCATGCTCGGATGGATGGCTTAGTTTGTAGCCAATGGCACTGCCTTTTGAATTCCAGGCGCAGAAAGATCCGAAGAAGGACCGTCCCCTTGCGCGCCGCAAGTCCGAGCTGCCTCAGGACCCCCACACCAAGAAGGCCTTGGAAGCTCACTGCAGAGCCGACGAGCTGGTCTCGCAGGGTGGGCCCTAGCCTCGGGGCGGTGGCCGGCCTGCCCGCTCCTGGTTCTGTAGAAAGTCCATACTGTCTGCGCCGTACCATCAGTCACTCAGAGTCAGAGCTTCCTCCAGCCCCGTTCTGTAGGCAATAACGCGTGTCTGCCTCAGCTCAGATTAGGTGTTCAAACAATGGTGGCTTCTCGGACCCCGGCAGCCGAGCTAGTGGATGGCGGCATTCTCACCGTGTCCTCAGCACCCCAGCACGGCGCTAAGTAAGCCGGTTTCCCAAAATCAGAGCTCTAGGAAAGCACCCTGGTCCTCATCTTCATGTTCTACCCAAACGGAATCTGTGATCCTTTAAAATAGGTGGTTCTAGATAACATCGATGTTTTTCAAATCAGAGGAACAGTTTTAAAAAGTATTGCCTATTTTTTAAGACTTTACAACCTTTGAAATTGTTTCCACGTGACTGTCATGCCTGCAGTTTTTGTTTAATCTCACAGAAATGGCTCTTGCTTTCATGTTGTCACAGCCTTCTGGGAAGTGATGTGACAATGAGCGGCCGCCGCACCTGTGAGGTGTCCTTTACTGTGGTCAGTGGCGTGCGCGCCATGTCCTACTTCTCTTGCATCTACCGAAAGCCATATTTCCAGGTCTCCGGTACAGCACCAGGATTCCAAGAGTAAGCTTACAGAAGGGGTTTATTTTTAAAAGCTTTCTGTATCTATCTACCTTGACTTGAATTGGAGTTGTAAAATTATGTGTTCGTATTTTTATTCGGAGAATCAACTTTCATCTCCTTACACTGTTGCCCTTCAACAAGGCTCCTAAATCAATAAAATTATAGTCTAAGAATTCCACATTTTGTAGAAAGTTAGGGCAAGACCATTTTGCGCTAAGCCAGTTCTTGGCCTGATGCAGACTGCAGATGCCTTGGGGTGGAAAGTAGCAGAAACGGCCCCGTGGGGCCACGGGCCCTGCTGTGACTTGGTCTGAGGCTTTGAGGAAGCTGGGGGCTGGCGCTGAGCGAGCCTCCCTGTGAGGAAGCGCACAGGGCCCCAACCTCACGAGGAAACAGTGTCTGAGTTTTCATCAGTCTTCAAATGCTGCTATATATTTCACAGGCTCCCTGCATGGATTAAGCTTTTGTTTTAGATGGAGTAGCACGAGGAGAAAACCCTTTAAACTTAGTGCTTTGTCTACTCTTCATTTCTCTCAGGGTGGCCAGTATTTTGACTTATTTATCCTGCTTGAAAGCTACTTGAGATGTGTACTGCTATTCTAAACAGTGACTAGTTTCTTTTGTCTCTGGCATATATATAACTTAATGTTAAATGTCTTGATGCATAAGAGATAAAATGTGGCTTCTTTTAGGATCTGATTTTTATTCGTGGTCTCGGGTATCCATGAAAAGATTGTGAAAATCAGACATTGCTCCTTGTGCGGCTGCAGCGCCTGCTGCTGGGGTTCCTGTAGGTCCACTGACGACAACGCTTGTTTCCTTGTGTCCTGGAGGAAACTCAGCTCGGGGAGGGAATTCCCGTGGCGAGAGCAGAGCAAGCACAAAAGGAAAGCATTGCCCAGTGGAGGTGGACCAGTCAGTCCACTTGGTGAGGAGAACACTTCCTGAGAAACTTGACAGTAGCTATCCATTGTACCATTATGAAACCTATGATTTAAAAATGTTTAGATGCCTTCTCCTTTTGAAGGAAAAAGGGTGCTTTTTATTGTATAAAGCAGCGTCTTCTGTATTTTGATATACCATTGTTTGAACTTCTGTCCTTAGCTGGTAGGTTCTCAGATATCCCTGACCCGGATGTCCGGTGTGTTGGTGAGAGAGATTTCTGGGAAGCCTGTCCTTCTGCCCTCGGAAAAAGCAAGCTGTCAGGGTGGGGTGACTATGTAACGCTCCACCTGTCAGAACATCTTTCGGTCTAGGTTTTATTTCTGCTCTTTATTGAAGACAAACATTCACCAATAAGGGAAAAGGAAAAACAGTTTTGAGAGAAACTCATTTTCTTTGACAAGAGTATTACTTACTTTTTTGGCCTATTAAAATTTCCTCATTAGTACTCAGATTCCCTGTGCTGACTGTTCGACTTCCATGTTATTAGAGAGGGACACTGTTTACTCTGTACCGAACTGATCTCCAAAGTCCTGCATTGAAAATAAACTGGTGACTGTTTTTCTTCATAAAGTCCTGCGTGGCATCTTCACTCTTTCCCAACGCATCTGTACACCAGAAATGTCACAGTTCCCAGTGTCTTTTTAGTGTGGCTTTAGTATGGCTTCCTTTTACTATTGTACATACATTGTATCTTTGTTTTATGGTAATAAGTAATAAAAATGTAGACTTCATATTTTGTACAAAATGTCCTATGTACAGAATAAAAAAGTTCATAGAAACAGCAAAAATAGGTAAGTGGCACAATTATTTTCTTTAGAAAATAACTGTAACCTTATGTTTTAGTGAAATGTTAAGTACCAACATATTTTTTAACATTTTGTAATTCAAAACTTTTTGTTTTGACATTGTTTATGAAGAGAAACTTCATACACTTGCCATTTAATATGCTCTTTTATCTAATTTTAAAAAAAAACTCTAAGAAACAGTGTATTATATGGACTAAATAAAGAACATGTGAATTTTATTGCTCATCCTGAAACTAAATTCAGTCCTGGTTCGGGACAGGCTGGTGCTGCTGTTCTCAGGCTGCGGCAGGGCAGGGCAGGCCAGGGCAGGGCCGGGCAGGGCAGGGCCAGGCCAGCTGCTCAGACTGGGGCCGGAGGGTGGGAAGCTGGAGTCCCTCGTCCAGCCCACCGATCAGTGCCAGCTTTTCAAGCCAATTCTTCAAGCCAAGTTTTTAATTCTTTCATGGGAAAAGCTTGAGCAACATTTTATAGGCACCTCTTGTTTTTTGAGGAAGCAAATGTGATTCAGGATGCAATGTATAGAAATTGAATTAATGTGAGTTCTAATTAGGGTTGTTGTTTTTTTTTTTAGAAATTCATAAAGAGAAAATAAGCCATGGCAATAGAGCAGAGTTGCTGAGAGAGGAATTTAGGATCCCGGCCAACCTACCTCCTCCTTAACTGAGCTCATTACCATCACGGGTGTCCTTACTGAAGGCCATGACAGGGCTGGGATAGGGAAGCTTCCGGAAGTCCCAAGAGAAGGCCCCCCCGGCCCCGCGCGCGCCGTGGGGCCTGGCATGGGTGGGGCACCCCTGGGGCTGGTGGTCTCTCCAGCTCCCCTGCTCCTTCAGAGGGGTGCTGGGTGCAGGCTGAGCCTAGGCGGTGAGGCAGTGAGGCTTTGCACCCAGCTCTGTGGTGGAGCCCCTCGGGGCTGGGTGGGGACTCTGGAGAGCCACAGCTGCCCACTCCTGCCAGGAGCAGGCTCTGGCCAGAGACACTTTGGGTCTGAGGCAGTGACTTAGATCCCCGCTCCACAGACCGGCAGGTCCCCAGCGCTCTGCTCCGCTCTTGCCATGGGGGACACTGGTGGGCCGTAACGTCCCAGAGTGGGGATGTCTTGGGAGGAGTGATGATGGGCAGATGCACCTCCCCCTGTGGCGGCCAGAGGTCCCGAACAGCTCTCCAGCTCTCCAGCTCTCCAGCTCTCCACTCTGCTTCCTGGAGAACTGGAGTTGCGATCAGCAGCTCCCGCCTCACCCCTGCCTGCACCCTAGAGCCAGGCATGGCAGGCTCACCCGGGCCACTGCCCCTCCTCATCACAGATGAGGAGACTGAGGCACACAGCGCTCAAGGCACCTGGACAAGGTCTTGACTCATGCAGCCTGGCCTAGATGCCAGCCCGGCACCACCCCTGGATGACAGAAAGCACAGGTGAGGGCGTCTGGGAGCCCCCCAGGTGGGCAGGGTGCCCAGGGGATCTGCATTGCACTGCAGGGAGCTGATCATGAGTGGCTGTGGGCGCAGGTGGGAGAGACATGCGCTTGACCTCTAGAGCCCAGAGAGCCGCATTTCAACAATTTGGAAACCAGCACATCAGCCTCTGTTCTCATTAACTTTGTGTTACTGATAATGAACCTGTAAAATTACCAGAGATTTAGCTCATTTAATATATATGGTTTTACACAAGATTTGACCAAAAAAATGGGTTCTGCTACCAGAAAGTTTGAAATCCACTAAATTTAACTTTTTTGTTGTTGTTTTGGTTTTGCTTTGGAGAAGTGAACGGTCCTAGAGTGGAGAGACAGCTCCAAGTAGTTAGGCGCCCAGCATCCCCTCCCCGGGCCCCGTGTCTCTGGGGTCTTTCTGCTTTTCCAGAAGCATCAAGTAGACTCGGCAGAACTTTGTGCAGGGAGGCAAGGCCAGAACTAGAACCTTTCTCTGCTCACACCTGGCCCAAGGTCAGGCTGGCCTGCCTTGCTCTTGTGGGAATTGTACAGAGACAGTTAAGCTGAGCTGAGCTGAGCACTAGGGTGTGGGTGTGTCCTGGAGGATGCAGTCTAACCCACTGTCAGTCACCCCAGAGTTCTTTGGCCCAGCCTCTGAATTTCTATACCAGACACAGCCAGCAGCAAGCACTTTTGGTGAACATCAGCACAGTGTGATGGAGGAAGGACCCGGAAGGCTGGGGGCCGGGTGAGGACTGGGGGAGCCCCTGTGACTCAATGGACTCCCGAAGTGCAAGGCTCTGGGGGTGTGCGTGAGCCCCTCACTCCCTGGCTTGTTCTCACGGGGTGACCTCACCAGGCTGCATTTCTCTTTCCAGAATACATCTGGTAGAAGCCGGCGTTGAACTAGTTACAGGTTTAAGGGCACCCTGCCGCCAGTGTCTGACCCATTAGCTAGGGCTATGCTGAGCCCCCTGCTCAGCCCTCCCGCAGGATTCTCTCCGTGGGGAGTCACAAGCCAAAGCTCCCACTCCATCTTGAGGCAGGTGAACAGGCTCTGGGGTCGCCCTTAATTAGACCTAGAAGCTGTTAAAAGTGGGTCCCCCATGAAGTGACCCCCAGAGGGCTTGCACTGCCTCAAGGTTAGAGCAGGCTCTTTGCCTTCTGAACAGGAACCCACACTGAAGCCCCAGCCTCTTATAAACCAGAGTGCCGTGCACCACAGGCCCAAAAATCAACTCACCCAGGGTGCATGGCGAGGCTGGGCTTGAGCTGACTTGGGTGGTTGTTGATGCCAGTGTTACTACTGAGTTAACTTGGGCCCTTTTCTTCCATGTTGTCAATGCCCAGATGATTCCACAGTGCATTGCTTTGCTAGGACACCTAGAGGTTCCTTCTTTCATCTTGGGTTTCAAAAAGACCAGGGTGGGGAATGTGCTTCAGTGGTACAGCGGCAGAACACTTGCCTGGCATGTACAAGGCCCTGGGTTCCATCCCAGCACCACCCCCAAAAAAGTATACAAAGCTTGCCATGTAGAACAAAATAATCGTTACAGAGGCAGGGTGGTGTCAGACCAGCACGCCAGGTAGAGAGAAGAAACTACTCCTGGGAGCCATGGCCAGCAGTGCGGATGAGAGACAAGGGCTGTTGAGCAGTCAGGAAGCCTCTAGCCACCTTCAGGGAGGCAGCTAAAAGGACCCACCAAGGTGAGTGAAGCTGCTCCCAATCATGGTTGCAATTTCTGACACAGAACAGACACCTTAAAGTCAGAGGGAAAAGGTGACAGACTTCAGAGTTGCCGATGTGCAGTTCTCCTGCACCTTGGTACCCAGGGTCTTGGGCCTTAGTCACAAGTGTATTTGGCCTTTGGGTCCAGCCCCTCCAGGCACAGAGCTGATGTCCTGTGGCCCAAGACCCCCACCACAATCTTGTTGTTACTGGCATGGGTATCCATCACGGCACAAGACTAATAGGTAAGCAAAGGCCCACTTCCTGGTCAGGACGTCCCCAGGGCTTAGTGGCCACCTCTGGGAGCTGGGGACAAAGGCCAGCTCCTCTTTGGCCCTGGTTAACCCAACACTGAGTACCTCCCTCCCTAGAAGAAAAACAAGCACAGAGAAGGTTGTGAACTTGGCCAAGAAAATGACAGCAGTGCAGGGGTCCCATGGTCGTGCCTGGACCCCTGGGAGTCAAAGCTCTTCTCACTGCACAACCCCAGGCAAACAGCGAGAAGGGGCTTGTGAGCTCCATGTCAGGCCAGCTTTCTGGTTCGTCTGAACGAGCAGAGGCCTCCGAAATGAGACGGAACGCTGCTGAGTGGAAGGAGCAGAGCCTGAGGAATACGGGCTGGTCTCAACTCAGGAGGGAGCCGTTCCATTCCTTTAAATAGCTAAAGGATGACTTTTACCTACTATCTTTCTCTTTTGGTACCGGGGATCGAGTTCGGGATCTTGCGTTTGTGAGGCAGGCAGTGGCACCACCGAGCTAAATCCCTGGCCCTACTTTCAACTTATGGAAGCCAGGCCTTGTGTCACACACCTGAAGCCACAGGTATTCAGGAGGCTGAGGCAGGAGAATCATTTGAACCCCAGAGTTTCAGACCATCCCCAGCAGATGCTAAGACTGGTTGGTGGCTGTTTCCTGAGGAACAGGAAATTGGTGATAGTATCTCTCCCAAAACTGCTAGCCAGTGGGAAGTGGTGACTTTCAAGTGAAGACACCTGGACTAGGGGATGAAGCTCTCAGCAGTGGTGACCAGCGGAAGACCCTGCGCCTCCCAGTACGATGCCCTGAGAGGAACCCACGTGGGCTCTGCTTCTTCCTGCCCAGGGCACCTGGCTGAATCTGCTCCACACGAACTGGGCCCGGGGGGAATGATCCTCCAGAAGAAAGGCTCATCTTTGGAAGACGGCGGCGAGTTTGAGCATTTGTGTTCCCTCCCAAGCGTACGTGGAATTAATCCTCGAGTCCACGGTGTCGGGTGGTGTGGCCATGGGGGAGTCACCCTCACGAAGAGATTAGCCGCCCTCAAAAGGGGACTGACAAAGGTACTTGAGCCCTTCCACCCCCTCCTACTCCGTGAGGACAGAACCCCCACACCCCACACCCCCGGAACCAGCACTCCAGACGCCATCTCGGAAGGAGAGGGAGAGCTCTGACCACCAGCAAGCCTTTCGGTACCCTGCCCTTGCACTCACCAGGCTGAAAATAAATGCTAGTGTCGGTACAGGAGCACAGGCAGGCTGCTTAAGGACATTAGAGGCGGGAGAGCAAAGGAGAGGCGGGACAGGACTACTGCCTGCATGCTGTTACTGGCTGAGAACTGGGCCAGAAAGGAGGAGACTAGCAGGAGTTGGAGAGGGTGATGCCAGGTGCTGTTCACCGCGTTGATGTCCCGATGGGAGGTTCCTAAGAAGGTGACGGGAGGACTCCTGTGGGACTCACAGTTGGTGAGTTTACGGGGTCGGTGACCACATCAGAAAAAGACGATGTACACATACGTGTGTGTGAGAGATGAGAAGGGGCGATACGGCAGGATGTCCAAGCCCAGGCGA